GGAGAAAGAGGAGAAAGGGATGACCCCGGACCTACGTCTCCTAAGTGGTTTCGCCCGTGGGGTGTCACTATCATTGCATGTACGTGTCACGTGTCTGCATTCGGGTTCGTGGCTCCTATCTGGTTTTTTCCAAGCCGAGTTCATATCATGGGTTCCCATGTTGACTTCCTGGTGCGCGACAGAGGCGCGAAAGCGCGGCCAAAGGTCCGCGAAAGGTTTTGCCATAAGGGGTTACCCGAATGGTTATATTGAATTGCTAAGATGAACCTTACGAGGTTGCTCTGGCTATGTCTCCCTTGTCACAAAGCCCCCAGACCCATGACATGTTCTTCTGAAAAGCCTGTGCATGAATCATACATACGACAACCATAATATGGCAGAACATAGTTTTACCTGGCGCGCGAAAGACGGCAAAAGCTCCTTGAAAGGCGCGGCGAAAGGAGGGTTTTCGGGAAAGGAATTTAGAACAGCCCTAGTGTGCTTTGAGCGCGAAAATTTCCCATTTCGAGGACCAGACTGGACGTTTTTGCAACCTTCAAGCAAAGACCCTTCTTGCTACGGAAGGCCTACTGCCGCGCTGGCAGGCAGCGCGAGAGGTCCGCGGGGCCAATGGAGAGATGAAGCTGCACTCCATGTGCTCACTGCCCATGTCCTTTGTGCGAGAGGTTCAGCTGGACATCCCCAGCCCCGAGGGCAGAAGAGTGAGACCTGTCAAGAAAAGCTCTTCTGCTGTGATTCGGCGATGCGTCCCCATGTTTGGGCCCATTGAAGAGAACTGGGGCCTAGGACTCATGCCCTAGATTCTGAGCTTCCACTTGAGTGTAGTGACTGTGCTTGACGTTTGTGGGATGCTTGGGCTCCGAGCCCGTGTTGGCTCCTTCTCCATGCAGCTGCGGCGTGGCATTTTTCGACACAGCTGTTTGTGAGTCAGGTGTTTGCAGAGGGCCCCCTAATGTGCATACGATGTATACGGTTTACGAAGTCTCCCCAGGACACACGCTGCAGTTCTGGATCAGCGACTCCTTTTCGGGCCAGGCAGAGATTAAGTGGTAATGACAGGCATCAAAACCTAATCTTGGCACACCTGCAGGTTTCGATGACCCGAGTGAGGAAGACGGGCTTCTGCAGCTGACTTTGCATACCTTGGCATGCGTGAGTTTTGAAGACATACACAGCCCACGCGTACAACGGAACTAAACGCCTGGCAAAAGTTACTTGAGTCTCCTGAATCCAGCTTTTCTCTCGGGAGTGGGGATGTCACATCTCCTATGAGCCACATCACCAGATTGGCGCCACCTCATTCGCATCCGCAGCCACAGAAGTAATCCATGCAATATGAAGGAATGAAAGACCGCACCTTCGGAAGAGAAGAGCGCGCAAGGGGGCAATTGATGGGTCCTAAGGCTGCAGACTTTCAAAGGTGAGCTGGCAGTGTGCGTCTCCTGGCCTGGTGGAGGCAGTTCAACCAAAACACATCAAACACATTGCAGGCGATAGCTGCGCTCCTTGAGGTAGAGGTGACTTTGTCGTGCCCCCGCCTGCGCCGTTGAATGCTGAAGGTGGTCTGAGTTTGCTGGATGTTACGTCTTGTTCTGGCTTGGCCCATTTTGAAGCCTGCAAGGCCAGCCCGCCAGCTTGAAGTGTTTGCTGGATGCTTGGTTTTGCAGTCGACTAGCACGGGCAGTCGTCGCAAGCTAAGTTTAAGGCCCTGCTTCAGCTCTGGGTCTCCCGTTTCGCAGAAGCAGGCCTAGACTGCTACCATCTGCTACCTTGCGGTCAGAATCCTTCACAGAAGCTCAAGACTCTGGAGGAGGTTAAGCCTGAAGAGGAGTTGGACAGGATGCGCCTCGATCCCCAGGTCACGCCACTGAGTTTGAAGGATGCAGGGAGTTGCTGCTGAGCACGTCAGGCACCAGCAGCCGGAGATGTTACTGCCGAATACTCTGGGTTGAAGGCAAATGTGTATGCACAACGTAGCTGTCGTGTAGTCCCACCTTGTTGATCATGTCGGGCTGTGGGACTGAAGTGTCCTTGTTCTGCAGGGACACGAGACAGCGCGGCTTGAAGAAGCACACTTGTGCCTTGCACCAAGTGCTCCAGGCTTCAGCACACTCGCTTTGAATGCTGTCGGTACTTCCTGCCAACCCCTCGTGGAAACTGCTGGCTGTTTTTTGCGATGCTGCTATGCTGATGCAAAGCCAGCGACAACTTTAGAGTCGAGAATCAGTAGTGGCATAGAATTGCTTGGAAATGAAGGTCGTCGGCGCAAGACAGCACTTGGTGATTTGCAGGCATGGCAACGGGTTTCGTCAAACCGATGGCGTTGCATTTGCTTTGGGGGTTGCTTGGGCTGTTGAGAGGCGGGCTCCCCTATGCGCGGGCTGCGCGTGGAGAAATTGCTGCAGCGAATGGAGCGGGAAGGCTGCTTTTGGGATGGGTGAAGAAGTGAAGAACATGTACCCTACAGCCCTACACGTCAGACGAGATCTCCATCTGAAGGCATGGACTCCGAGCGGCTTCTGGTGCCTGGCTTTGAGCACGAGGTGATGGAGGGACTACGGGGGCGTGTTGAGATGGGATGGGGGGGCTTGCAGGTGAAGATGGAGAAGCAGGAGAAACAGGAGCAAGAAGCAGCAGATGCCAAGGCTGGAAAGCAAAAGGAGAGCGTGTACCATTTCTGCATCTAGCTTCCAACGAGAGGGAGCCGCTACATCAGTGATCAGAGTTTTGGTTGAACCCAGGTATCAGATGGACTTCCGCAAGCGGACTCCCGTCTCAATTGCGGACGTGTGCAGAGACACCAGACCTGGGTTGTGTTTGTGGCATGCAACTAAGGATTGAGGAAAGAACACGTAAGCTGGCTATGGTGAAGACCCACATGTCTTACAAGAGTTCCTTGAAGGCAAGGAGGCTTTGATCTTTCCCCACAGATGCTCCTGGCATCAATCGCCAGCAAGCTTCCTTTTAGCTGATGCGCTCCTGACGTTCCTCAGGGGATTTGTGATAATATGATCCTGCATCAGGGGGACATACATGAAGCCAAGTTTCGTTGAGGTATTGTCCGCGAATATGGGGAGGAGGCGGAGGAAGGCAACCTACTTGAGCAGCTGGGCTTGCAAGCACGGATGGCATATGTGCACAACTCTGCGACAAAATCTGCAAGGCTTCTGGAACGCTTTCAGAAGATATTCCAGCCGAAGAGAACCTTGCGTCCAGCGGGAAGCCGCCGGAGATTTGAAAGCAGCGTGAAAAGTATTCGGGCATCTTGGCTGAAAAGATCAGGTTCTGCAGCACGCATGAGACAACATGAAGCTCCCATTTGGAGAGCTATTCGATATTCTGCCCATGTATCGCCAATCTTCACATGTCGAGTGTGCGAACAGACAAGGTCCACATTTCGGTGGCAAAGGTTTACGACGCGTTGGTCTCAAGTTCATGTCCGCCACAGCGTGCTGCATCATGCATTTTGAGCGTTCCATACGCAGTCGTATCAAAGTCTGCGAAGTTTGGTCAGCTGCGCGAAAGATCGTGACTGCAGTTGCTTCGTGATCTTGTGCCGCAATCCCAAAGCAAGGCCCCGATGCGCTGGCAGCAAGATGCGCAAGCGCAGTCTGCCCCGCCACCGCTGATGGAAGGCGAAGTGGAACCACACCATCTTTGCATTACTTTGCTCAAGTATCATTCACAGGTTCAAGCGTTTGCTACATTCTTCTTGGAAGGCTTCCCGGGTTTGCAGACCTTCGGTGGAGGCAAGGTGTAGTTGACCCGAGAGAAATTGAAAAGGCAGCTTCCATGTGCTGCGTGCTAGATCATTCCTGGTCAAGGAGGTTTTCAGCGGCCACAACAGCTCGGAAGCCCTCTCATCGGCTCAGCAGAGGGCGTGTTGTTACCTCAGGCATTATCTTTCCATGACTGACATGGACTGAGTGACCTGCTTGTGATTAGGTTTGGTGCTATGCCTCCTGGAATACAGAGCCAGCAGCTACCAGAGATTGTCATTGAGATGACTCTTCAGGAAGCTTTGGGTCCTGATGCCTCAGCCTCACTCGTGGCTGAGCTTCTCGTTGCAGCAGGATTTCCACGGCAATTTGCTCTTCAAGCGGACTGACCGCGCTCAGCAGTCTACAGATCCGGACGCTCCTCTGCAAGTACACCAGTTGTGCTTTTTATGCAGGAGCAATCTGCAAAGCCCCAGGACATCAACCAGATCCTGGAGATTCCCCTGCATGCAGCTCTGGAGCTAACCCAGGAAAACTTGTGGTGGACTCAGCTTGCGATGATGCCGCATTTACAGATCGTTGGGCTGGCTTGGTGAGGATAAAGTACAGTGGAGAGCTCACCATAAACGTCTTCGACTCTTGTTTGCGCTTCAAATCGTTCAGATGGCCTTTGAATTGGAGCATTTGGAGCTGACCTGGCTTTCGAAGGACGAGCTCTCGCAAAGGCTGCCCGGAAGTGGCCAGGACGTGCGAGTGCGAACACAACTACGCGTCCAGGTTGCAACAGGAAAGTCAACCTAGTGCATGAGCGGCAGTTGCAGTCTGCCTCAAAGCCTCCATCTCTCTTGCCCAATTGTCTTTTGCATATATCCCCTCATGGCCAAGGCCATCTTGGAAAGTTCGTACTACCTTGGGATACCCTGTATGCTGCCAAGTGCAGCGTCAAGGGGCATTTCCGTGTCGATCAGCCCACGCCTCAGTCAGTTTGGAGAAAGATCCCCGGCATACAGCAAGCCGCACTTGCCGCGCAAGGCACGTGGTGCTTTTTGGGTACCGCCCGAAGACAGAGAAGCAGCGACAAAGTGTGCAAGCTGCGCCAGGAGGCCATTTTCGCTAGCAAGACAGCGCATTTCGTGATTTCAACCAGCAGGCAGCACAGTGCCTCCGCCGCCCCCGCCTGCCAACCAAGCCCCGCCGAAGGCAATGTATCTTGGTCTAGATGCTATGGCCTCAGCGAGGCATGCATTCCTTACTGAGTGCCTCCAGACAACAAGCCTGGCAGGGTCAATGCTGTTGAAGCGGTGCCTGTTGAGGTCACAGTCGACCCTCCGCTGGAGCACCCCACAAGTGCCTTGCTAGCATCACTGTAAGCGCGAAAAATCAAGCCAAACATATTTTTTCGTTGTAAGGAGTTCAGCCTCAGATCACGCTCGGGAAGGAGCCCAACATGATGCTCAAACATGTCCAGAAGCTTCGCATCATGATTATCAGGATCACCTTCAGATCAATTGAGCTGGCTTGCCTGGACCCATCCCATCCTTTGCTCCCCGCTGGTGGCCAAGGAAGTGGCACGAGTTGCTGAAGTCGAGGCATGATTCGCGCGACTTGCCTTAACTTTGGGCCAGACAAATCTGTAGGGTTCTTCTGCTTTTTGACGACTCAGGTGCTCCAAGGTTTGCCGTTGCCGTTTTTATGAAAAGATTTCCATTTCCCTCGAATTTATGAATGCGGACATTGACCGCGCTGACAACTCCTTGAAATTTTCGACTGAAAGTGAGGATGAAGCATGTTCCCTATTTCTCCCTTTTTTCCCGAAATGCATGTGAAGGAACATGCTTGAGAACACCGTTTCCGCACACTACACTGCAGCAAACTTGCGCATATTTTCCGCACGGAGAACTTCCAGAAATCTTGCACTGCTTGCGAGGATGGAGAATGCTCGCGGCTTACTTGCTTTAAAAGGATTCTGTTTTTTCAGGAAGAGGCTTATTTAAGGCTGGTAATGGCCGAATTTTCTATATATTTCATCCACAGAAAGCTTCCTGAAACATTCCAACCTCTTGCAACAATAATAATGTTGTTGGTATGAAAGGTTCCCTCGCGTTCCGAAGCAAAAGACTAAAACACAACAGGTGGTGGCATTCATACACCAGCGAAAACAATCTGGAATTTTCTATATTTCTCTCGAAAGGAAAATGCAACTGTTTTGCATGAATTAGCCTTGAATATTTTTCTGCAAATTGTCAAGGTGGAAGACTGCTCGAGAATTTTGTTGCTTGCAAGGATAAGCAATGCTCACTGTCTCTGCAAATTTCGGTGTCGCGTAAGACTGCAAAGCCGAACCAAACCGTCTGAAGACACTTTCTCGGTTCTTTCAAACCACGGAATTTTCGTGGACATTTTCCACGCAGAAAACTTTGAAAAGTTTTTCTGCTGCTAGCATGCTGAATAGTTGCACGTTGCCTGCTGATTTTCCTGAAGTGCTCTTGTAAGTGCAGATTTGAGCGAACCTGTCGGACACCGTTTTACTCTGCATGCAAACGAAAGATGTTCTTGTCTCAAAAGAAGTCCGCCTTTGTAGCTACAGACGTGAATGACTTGTTTGTTCCAGTATTCAACGTTGCTAACAAATCTTCGAGGGGTTTCGAAGCGGAAAACTTTCTGAAGTTTTCTGCTGCTTGCAAGAGTAGTGGTTATGGATGCTTACGTAAAAGGAATCAGCCTGCCGAAGCTTTTTTCCTTCGCTTCGAAATTTTCAGGAAGACATACTGAAACCTTTAGCTGCTGCCTTTTCCTGAAAAAAATTATGGACGCAAGTGAAAGACAGTGCTGGGGAAGAAATTCCCTCTGAATCTGCTAGGAAGGGTGGCTACTGCTCGCTCTGTGAAGTCCTGAAATTTTCCAACGCTTCCGGCTAGCTATGATTTTTTTGACCTGCAAATGTTTGCATTTCCTTTGGCATGAAAGCAAGACGAAATTGGTTGTCGATCAACAAGTTGCATGGTCTCTGTGGATAGAAATTGCGTTCTTTTCAGTCGGTGCGAGGCGTCAACGTTGGCGTGCAGGTCGTGCATGCGGGCCGTGTGGAGGCGTGCTGAACATGTCCACGGAAAAAACAAAAAGTGCATATGGCTCGACGTCAAGAATTCGCTCGGGGAAAATGATATTTGACAACTCTGCCGTTGATGCTGTAAGCGTTATAGTTCGTTTAGAATTTGCGGCAAGCATTTGTGTTCCATGTGACTGGGTGTGCTGGGGTGTTCGGTATGTTGCCCAGAAAACGCAGGCCAGCTCTGGTGGATGGCTTGGTCAGTTTTGAGCATCCGCGTCTGTGCGTGATTGCGTGAAATTATCCACGCTTAGGCGAAAGGGTTGGGAGATGGAGAGAAGGGGGGAGAAGGTTAGAGCTAGAGCCAGGCTGCTGTCGGTTGGAGAGCAAGGCAAGCTCTATTTCAACTGGCGCCCTGGACAAGCGAACACAAACTGAAAACATGTACCAAAGGGTCTCACGGACCAAAGACATTGGCAGCCGGGTTGGCGATTCAACTTGAGCTTGGAGATTCCCCAAGCTTGAGATGTAGAAGGGTTGCAATGGGACAGGCTTGGGCTGGCCACATATTGTATGCATCCTTGAGCTTCTTGAGGCCCCAACCTGCCTTACATGAGATTTGCAATGAGCACAAGAGTTTCAGTACGCATGAGAAGCAGGAGACAATGCTCGGACAAAACTTGCTCACTCTTTGAATGGCTTTTTGGGTTCATTCTTCGTGTTGGGAATCTAAATGCAAGGCTGAGCAAGGATGGGAATGCTGTAGGATGCCCTCCGCAGGAGCAGGGTTTGTTTAGTTGTCAATGGGACTTGGAAAGCTCGGCTGGCTACCATAGTTTGCCTTCCCAGCATCGAAGGACTTGCATGTGTTTTAGCCACTTAACTGGCTCAGGTATCCTCGCGTTGGGAACAGACGTGGACGGGCGCTCGCGTTTGATTTGCCGGTTTGTTCGGCCGCAGAGTCCTCCAGACATTCCGCCTGAGAACCCCTTTGCAATCGCTGCTTGACATCTTTTCGATGGCCATGCTTTTTCATTCTTGCTTGAAACTCGCTTCAACAATTCTCGGAGCAGCTCAGGAAATGGCTGCAAGGTATGTTTCCTTGATACCCTCACTGCAGGACCCGCTAGCATTTGTCTGCACGCCTGGCTCAAAAGCCTCCACGTTCCCCGATGGCGACTTTCTGCAACGGCCAGCTTTGTAGGACAACGAGATGTGGAACGTGGACGACTTGTGGCAGCAGCCTGTGCCAAACCTGTGTGCGCATGTGCTGTACTAGGTTCGCTTCAGGTGCACAGACCAGGAGTTTCTCGACATTCAGTGTGGAGATTGGGAGGCAATTGGGCGACAAGTGCTGTCTTGTTTGCACTTGTGGCAGGTATGCATAGTGTGTCGTGTGGTACGAATTCACGGCAGGAGCACTGCATCCTGCTCTGCAACTTTTTCAACTACATTGACCGCTATCGGCGCGAGTCTGTAGGTGCAAGCTTCAGATTTCCCTCCCAACTCCAGCGCTGTGCAATGTTCATGAAGCATATCCAGGTGGGTACAGCACCACAGACATACAGCAGCGGGCCAAGATGGTGTACTCCATGCAAGCAACATTGCCCTGCTCCCTTACTTAACATGCCCATGGCCAGGTCATACTGCGTGATCTGCGATTTGGTGCCAGAAGGTGAAGCAGTGGTGGTATTGCGAATGGTGCTCCTGCAAGTTGACTTTGGCGTTGCGCGCCTGCATGAGTGTAAGTTTTGCACCTGCCAGGACAGACAGTCAGGGAACTGTGAGTTCTGGCACGCGCTCAAGGGCAGATGTCCTTCGGCTGCACTGCGGGCTTGCTCACGTGGGGGACAGCGGCTATTGCACAGCAATGTCAGGCTACTTCTTGAAAGCAGCTGCCGCAAAACATCGTTGCATCCCCAAGATCTGTGTTGTGCTTGACACTCTTGTTGGCTTGGTGTCCTAAGTCCTAAGACACTCTTCCGCAGGACATGGTGTGCTGGTTGCATGGATCAATCTGCAAGATGAAGGCTTCAGGAGAAGTCCATATGGAGTTGGCCCACAGTGCCATGGCATCTTCCTGTCAGGGTGCCGAGGGCAGAGAATGGCGTGACTGTTCTCCTGGCCCATAGCGCTAACTTTGAGATGCAGACCTGGGCATCTGCCTCGCTCTGTGGCCAGACACCTCAGATCCAGCTTTGGCGCCTCCGCCCGCCGCCACGGACGCCGCAGACATTTGCGGCACGCAAAGTGCGACGGCCTGTGCCGCGACAGGCAGAGGCACAGGCAACACCGGCGCCAAGCACTTCTAAGCCTGGACCAGTTACTCTTTGGACGCTGCTGGCCATTTCATGCTTGAACCTCATGAGCTTCACGGCAATGTATCCGATTACCCCAAAGCTGATGATACGTTATTCTATGAAGTCAGAAATTGGTGTGGGTCTGGTCGCGTCCTCTTTCGCACTGGGTCGTTTTCTCACGACCTCTTGCTGGCCGATTCTTGGTCGTATGGTAACTGTTGCGCGAGTCAGTTGAGGGACGTGTTGCTGTCTTGCTTTCTGTCTTGGCTATGCAAGTACCGAACAGAATCCTGTTTTTTATTGGTGCATCAGGATTCTCAGCGACTTCATTGGCCGGAGGAAGGTGCTGTTTACGGCTCTGCTGGGAGGTGTAGTTGGCTCGGCTCTTCAGGGTGTGGCTATTGCGCGCTCTGCCTGCATTGTACAAGGTGATCCGACCCGCGTTGCCCTTAATTCAGTCAAGGTACTGTTGGCCCTTTGCAGCTTTCCTCGCTGCTACTTGGTTGCGTTGGCCACCTCGACGACCTTACATGCTGTGCTCCATTTTACATGCCCGCTCAGGTTAGGGGCATCTCTGGAATGTTCAGCGGAATTGTGCCTGTGGTCAAAGCGTACATTGTGGATGCCTTTGACGCAGAGGAGGTGCCCAAGGTGCTGGCATACCGCAACTCTGCTAGATCGTGGGTCCTCGGTCATGCTATGTTTACGCTTTCAATGCACCAACTTGCATTCGTGGTCAAGCTGAGGAGAAGCTGCCGGAACAATGGCGCACCTTGGATTAACTGCGGCAAATCGTTTGTGTCCGTGTGGATGTGTGATGTGCTGTTGCAGGTTCATTATTGGCCCAGCTCTTGGGGGTGCCTTAGCTTCCAGGACTGTGGCCTGAATACAACACATCGCGCGTGTGTGCAGCAAAGCCTCATCCAGGATACTTTCAGCCCCCATGTTTTTCTCCGCCTGCACGGGAGCAATCGCAGCAGCATTGGCGTTAAAAGTTCTACCGGAGCCCACGCAGAGAAGGACGCCGTAATCTGCAGCCGTTGTGATTCTTGAAAGCTGCTTGATTCTTGCTTGAGCGCTGCAATTTTGGTAGGGCAGGGACGGTGCCCTGGCGCAGGAGTGGGAGAGGGCCAAAGAAGCCCACCACTTCAGCCGGGAGAAGATCTCCTGTTCTGGCTGTGCCTGAACTGAGCTGTGATGCGAAGATGGGCGTGGTAAGAAAAATTGCCTTAGTTGCTTGAGGTAACCTTGCTGTTCTGCTCGTTCGTGTGGGCCTGTACCAGGACAGGTGCTTGAGACCGATCCAGTTGTTGTGCTCGGGTGTGAAGTCGTTGTGTGAGGACTTGCTTCCATGCATACTTCCCCCTCCTCCTGGCTCGCCGCTATGCGCTTGCGCTCACAAACTTGGGAGCAGCCCGGGGCTCAGACATCTCGTGGAAGGAATCCCCTACGTGGCTGGGCAAGATGAGCTTCCCAGGTTCTGACAGGCATCTCCCTGACAATTGCTGCTGTCCTTGGCCTGCAGCTAGAAGGGACGTTGAAGCGAACATCTCGCTCCATTCGCTCTCATTGCAAGTTGAATGGCTGGGCCAGACAGGTGCAGATTGCTGGCTTTGAGAAGTGCCGGCAGAGACACGGCCTGGAAGTTACTATGGTTCTGGGCGCTTTGCTGGTTCTAGCTGGGCTGGGCTACTGGACTGCAGAGAGTAGCACGACCACGTAGAAAAATCTGCAGTTGCACGGTGTGAAGTCAGTGGCTGTCAGGCGCACTCTTCAGCCTGCCCGTCGGCACTTCCCTTGCAGGTGTCTTCATCTGTGGAGCCGTCTATGGCGCAGGCCTTCAGCAATGTAGTGAGTTGCGAGATGCTGTGTAGAGCTCTTTCTGGGGTGCAAGCATTCCACTTGCACTCGAGGCGGCGCATGCAGAGAAAACAAAGCCTTTGCAGAAGACCGCAGCCAAGGCTGTGCACTGGTTTCGCCGGCTCTGCCCTCGCTGCTAGTACAAACTGCACCGCCGGGCCGATGTGGAGCCCTTCTGGGCCACCTGACAAAATCCCTACAGTCTGAGCCTGGACCGCACGCAAATTGTGGTTGGTGATGAGGCATAGATTCCGCCATCGTGAACTTTGGACGTATTGTCGCGCCATCCGTCTTTGGCCGCTTGGTGTTTTGAGATGTTTGGCATGTAGCTAGGCTTGCAACTGCGCGCATCCAAATTGAATCTGCGCAGCCGTCCGTGTTGCTGTGCGTGCTGCATGTCTCAGGTTTGCTATATCGAAGTGATCAGGAGCTGACCCGGACCATTTTTGTGGCCAAGGTTGTCACAGTCACCAGATGCTTGGCCTAAGCTTCCTTGTTGGTAATGGTGCCCTGACCTGCAAGTTGGCTGCTTAGCTAAGTCCTTGAATCAGGTACGGTCTGCTTCTTGGCTTTATTTCTGAAGCGCCGCCACGCTGATGCCAAGTAGCAGGCTGTCCAGAACAAGTGCGTGTCACTGTGTGTGTGTTCTGGTTCCATCGTTCCATCACGCTGGCATAATGCTGCTGCTCGCTTGATGAAAAAATGCTCGCAAAGTGTGCTCAGAAAGTCCGCGCAAACACCGGAAACGCTCTTGACTTTTCTGCTGAATCAGGCTGGAGCCTGTGCGCACGCACTGCAGAGGCGGCATGAAACTCGGCAGACGGCTGTGTTGCGCAGCAATCATCCAGGTGATTTTTCCTCGCAGCTTTGAATTGAATGAGGCCGACGATGGTGGAGAGAAACCAGACCCCGGGCAGGCATCAGTGCTCAAGGCACACCTGCAGATCATTGGTTGAGACGGCTCGTTTGATTGCATCCGGCTTCGGTTGCTAGTGTGATGTTGTGTAGGCCATGGCAACCATACCTATCCGAAAAGTGCACCTTGTGTTCAACGCGGACAACGCAGATGGCTCAGTATCTTGTCCTCCGTTGAGTCTCAGTTGGGGGACACTTTTTTCGAAGGTCTGGGCCAACCTTCAGAGTGGGAGCCTGAATGAGCATTGAGAAAACCGCTGGCCTCATACACATCATCTTGCCAGGTGAGAGGGCCAAGAGCGCCCAGAAAGGGGTCGCAGCGTTGTCCTGGGACCTTGATGATACGAGATGCTGGGTCCAGAGATCTGCAGTCAAGATGGCCGAGTCACAGCAGATGACCTGAGGCTGGAAGCCGCTCTTCGTCCATGGCCGTGAAGAGTTGAGGCGCTTGTCAGGTTTCCCTCCAGATCCAAAAGGCCCTTTGCCTATATCACAGATGTAGAGGATCAGGGACAAGAGCAGCAAGCCGGCCGAGCTTTGCAGGTGAGGACGACGCAGCGCTGCAAGACCCATCGAGAGACTGGCGTTTGGAGGTGTGCCAGTGGCCTCACTCTGACGAGCCTTTTTTGGTGATTGCACCTTTCTGCCAGGACCCATCTCAAGCCCTCAAGTACCAGCCGAAAGATGAGCCTCAGGACACGCTTGGAGTCAGTTCTCCTGTTATAGTCCCCCTTAAGTAGATAGAATATGGGGTATATGGGGATCTTATCATAATATGCCCAAAGCCATATTCTATCTACTTGAGGGGGACTATAAGTGGATACCAGATTGCCAGCATGGGAGGCTGCACGGCTGGAGAACATTTTCCAGCTTCAGTCGCTGCCTTGGATCGTTTGGTTGCAAACATGTGCTGATGCCTTACTATGGTACCCAATAAAGGGTTCAGGGCCCTATAATGGAGAATCAAATGGAAAAGAACATGGAAAATGAAATGGAACCTGGGATGTGCTGATGCCTTCCAGGGACAATGGAAAAGAAAATGGAAACTACAGGGATTATAGGGGTTATATAGGGGTTATTTTGGGGTTATATAAGGATTATAGGTATATATTGGGGTAATATAGGGAGAATGGAAAGTAAAATGGAAACTACTGTAGTATATTGGGGTTTATATGGGGATAATGGAAAATAAAATGGAAACTACTATAGTAATAGACTCAAAAAAGTTCTGACTGGCAGGCTCGAGCAAGATGTCATTGACCATCGAGCTGGCTTGAAAGGTACCATCGTGAAGGACCAGCCTGAGATCCTTGACATGCTGCTTTCATTGTGAGCCACGGTGTGTCTCAGGACAGCAGAAGCACGAAGTTCAACCACGTCATTGCTGACAGGCGGGCAGCAGCACCCACAAAGCCGAATGACGGATATCCGGGTATCCGTAAGCCAGGCTGGGCCAGCTGCTGGAAGGATTGGAGACGCTTTCCAACTGTCAATGTCCGAGCACATTTCTGTAGTGTCCAGCCTTTCGTTTTAGAATCGCGGTGACCGTTGTCTTTTTGCCTCAGGTTCTCGGCGCAGCAGCTACGAGTCTGGCTTTCCACTAAAGTGCGAGGCTGCTCTCAGATTGGTGGGAGAGGCCCCGGTGCTGCTTCATCAGGTCACATGCAACACCACCTGTGACTTTAGAGGCGTGGTAACCTAGCCTGCACCATCCTGACTTTCGAGGGTTTAGGAAGTTTAGGGTCTCTCAGGCCATCGAGGCCCAAATGCACGAAATCGAGAACGATTTCCGAAGGATGGGGCGGCCTGGGCCGCTGAGCTTGCAAATACGAAAGCGACCCAAAGACACGCAGCAGATTAAAAAATCGTATACGAGCGACAGAGCGTCGAAAGCCCTAGGCGGAGTGTCTTCGGCCTGCCCTTCAATGAGCCGTACAAAGACTACAGGCTGAGCGTGCTTGACGTAAGGGACGAGTTTTTGGAATTCAAGTCGAGCTGCTCAAGAAAGTGTCCTGGCAGCCTCATCTGGGATGCCATCAGCCAGTCCCGCATCTTGGAGCTGGGCGGGGACCAAGCGGACTACGCGCTCAAGGTTCAAGCCGTGCATCATCGCTCTGCATTCTTGGTATTTCTTTGTAGTTGTTGAGAGGTCAGAGTGTTTCCGTATGCTGCTGGGGCCTGCACCTCGAAGCCTATGCAGCTTGCAAAGATTCCAAGCTTTGAGATGGCTGAGGTGCTGAGTATTTGGGTCTTCATTGCCGCCGCAATGGATGTGGATTGATTCCGACCCACTCGCGAATTCGCGGCCATTCAAGCATGTGGCCAATCCACGCCTCCGTGTGCCATGCAACTAGTGTTTAAATGCTTAAGCGACTGCCCGAAAACCATGGGGGTACAAAAGTGGCTGCCATCAGAACTTAGCAACTGACAGCTGACAAAGCAATGGTGGAAGCTAGGATGGCCAGAGCTGATATGTGCTTTGGTCTTCAGGCGGCCGTGCTCTACTCTAGGCTTCCAAATCAACAGGTCAACTCCGACGAGACACATGATGCCGGGATGCTTTGCCTTGCTCCTTTGCTGGCGCTCAAGTTGCAAGAACCTATTGAATGTCAGAGTGTATTTGGATGCGGTGCCTGAAATCAAAAAATGACTATCAAGGTTCTACGCTGCTGTAAGATGGTGTTCGCCTGCTGGCACTTGCACGTGTTGTGTCCATGAGAGTCGGCAATTCCTCCGCGCTTGGTCCACATTTCGCACAGCCGTGGCGATAAGGCGCTTCCCGACGAGCAAGGTTGTCAAAATGTTGCCACCCAAAGTCCACGACTTTTTGAACAGGATTTTGCAGCTCGAATGCTCTGAAAGAAGTCGTGTTGCAGGAGTGGCACCTCTGTGTGTGTGGGGGCGAGCGAGACACCACATTGAAGGTCTGTTCCTTTGGTGTTGGTTTTACATTCTGCCGTGTGTTGTCGAGGAGCGGGGGGGGGGGGGGGGNNGGGGCGGGCAAAAAATGTTTCCATCTAGGTTGGCTCGCTCATGAAGACATTTCCGCTGCCGGTCAGAAATTTAAGCAAGTCGCTCCCCAAGGCTATCCTTGAAACTCTGCACCAACCTCACCTTTTGGTGATATTTTGTGATGATGGCCTGGTTGGGCCACTCCGAATTCCAAAGATTATAAGAAACAAGAGTCACTAAACTAAGGATACTTAAAAGTCACGAGCCATGGACAACAGGCACAAATTGTAGCCCCAGGATAATAAGATTTTCTGCTTCTGCTGGAATGTGCTTGCAAACATTTAGCGCCAGCCGTGGTTGAAATATGCAGCACCAATAACAACAACCTAGATCGTCCGCAGCTTCTGAACAAGCACTACAAATTTCGCCTGTGTTTGATGCCGTGCGGGTTTGCCGTACCTGATTTGGAGTTTGTGTCTTTCTTCCAAGTCGTGTAGCGTTCTGGTTCAAAATATTGTTGGTCCACCTTAGGGCTTGGTGCTTGCCTCAGCATGCAAAGATTAGTCTCACAATGTAGCGCGCATGTGTGGATTTGTGGATGTTTTAGACTGATAGCTGTACAAGGTGTCGTCATGTCGAGGCCAGGCATCAACATTTGACCGGTGTGCAAAATTTGGTGGAGTGGCGTGAGGCCTGTGCGATTGATTCTGCCAACCCTGTTGGCCGCGGCTTTGTATCTTGGAATTACCAAGTCGACGGGGACTCAGGAAGCAGCGCAGTTGAATTGCAGATGTTTCGGCAAATTTCAAAACATGAGAAGTTATACGCCATTTTTTTTGGAAAGTCCTGACAGGTTGGCTTGCTTTTTGGGCACACCAGCAGGAACATCCCAAGGCAGTTGTGTTGTGTTTGTGTGCTCATTCCGCAAATGCTTGATGCGAGGCGTGCGAGGATCACACCCTGGAGTGGCCAGGGTGCGGAGCTGTTGAAGTATCGACATGTCAATGCCATGCAGATGCAAGGAGAATCATGCTTCAAAACAGCGCTTCACGCCCGTCAGGCAGCAGTGCAGCTGGATGTTCCCATGAAGGAATCCGATTTGATCCAGCCTGACGAGGAGAACAAGATGGCTAGCTTTTTGATGCATTGGGCCATGGGCCATGGGGCCTTCTTTTCGGTTGAAGCTGTGTCGTGCCAGGAGCCTGAACGAGCCACCTACTTGTATGGATTTGTTCCTTTCGCAGAGCAACTGAATGGCCGTGTGCTGACCTAAGCTGCCCACTTCCTTCGCGGTTGCAGATGTGCTGAGAGGATATGATATGACACATGCGATCTGCTCAGATTGCCATGATTTTCTTTTTCATCCTGATCTTCCAGGAGTTCTTTCTCGGCAAGGCGTGACGTGTCATGGTGACGTTTTGTTGCTGCATTCAGCTGGTGACAAGTGGACCTGGTTCATGAGCAAGATCAAGTGCAGATTTGGGGTTCAGACGCAAGTTGCTAAAGATATGACTGTCAAGGGACTCTTCCAGCAGATCGGCGAGTTAATCGGTATGAAAGTGACCGCAACCACGTCATGATTTCAACGGCTTGGTGTCACTTGCGGCCGCGGACCATTGATTGGTCAAAATCCAGTGGCCCTTGATAATGTGCGAATGCCAGGAGTTGTTGAGCTCACTCCAAGGTTGGCGAGTGCAGTTCGTGCACTGCGCTGACATGTGTGCTCAGGTTTCACAGTGGCGTTTCTCCATAGCATCTATAAATTCCAGAGAAGGAAGCTTAGAGCCATGGTTTTGTCCTCCTGAATAGCTGCAGTGATACTTACTATAACATTGTGGCAGTTTAAAGCCGTTGCACGTACTGGTATGGCAAGTGTTGCATGATGTGATGATGTTCCATTTTCAGATTTTCGGCAGAGAATGCTAGCCGCCAGCCATCTAATTTGCATGGCAGAGCTTTGTGCACAAGCACAAGCAAGAGTGGTGTCAAAGATGCAAGCCCATGATCCGCGTACAGCAGCTGACAAAGACAGAGCGCACCAGGTAATGATGGACAACATTTGCCGCGCTCTACTGAATCAGACCAAGTTTGTCATGCCACCTGCAAAAGAACATAAAAAGAACACTGCCTGGAGCTCGAGCGTGCGACTTGTTTGCCGCAGTGTTTCTGCAGCTGACGTTTGCGCCAACCGCTGTTGCGCCACAGGCATTCGCGTTCCAGCACGTGCTGCTGTTTTTTTGTCCCATTTGGCATTTGGTGACGCTGCGTCAAACCCTGAGCAGACCATGCCGACTTCTCGAAAAACTGCGCTGAAATCTGCAGGGGGCAAAGCAATCATGTGCACCCTTTGACATGCAATTTGTTTCAACTGGCAGCAGAGGCACAGGTCAATAATGAAGGTTTTGCACATGCGCGCTGAGGCCCAGTACGAGAAGAACATCGGAAAGGGTGGGCCAAGTCCCTTGACTTGAAGAAGCCTGGGCTGAACGCTGGCAATGTTTTCCTATGATTTGAAGTAGGTAGTTCGTCGGGCAAGAGCAAGGAAGCGCGTCGGCCTCAGCCCACTTGCGAAGCCGATGCTTTTGGGGTTGGGTCCTGTATGTGTACGCCTGGATGATGTTTACGGCGATGGGCAGCTGCCATGAGGGCTCCGTTCACCGTCGGCCCCGTCGTGCTGGCCGTTTTCCTGTTCGTGGTGGCTTTGCCCTCAGACGCTATCATGTCAGCTCATGGCCGAAGTTGACCGGTCTAGCAGATGGAAGATATGAACAGGGTCCATGAGGGTGAGGAGGGGTTCATTATTTCGTTGCGGATGTTTGGGTGCACGAGAGAGGCCCATTCATGTTTCGGTGGTTGCGAGATCAACTGAGGTTGGATCGGCCATCATCCAGATAATTGCGAGTGCACAAAAGGGTCCCGTGGCAGAATTGCGTGTGGATTAAGCTCTGGGTTGTTGCTTCCCATGCTTGCTCAGGCCTCATTTGAGAATGTATTTGGGAAGCAGCCCGTGTTTCAAATCAAAGTGGTCAGGCTCTTAGATTTTTTGTTGGTCCCGTTTGTGCTGTGCACTCCAACTGGGCGATGCTACAGGCAGTTTTCTGAAGTCACTACGGAAGGTTGCAGTGCACTGCTTCTTGTGATTTTCGATGGTTATTGTTTGACAGCTTTTCCTGCAGGAACGGTGGCGAATAGTCAGCTCTGATAGGCTTGTTATAGACACAGCGTGGAAGTTATTTACAGATTCATATGAAGTGAACAGCTTTTCAGCATCAGGGGTACGCAGCATAGGAATTGAGTTAGGCAGGGTGGAACTCCGCCCCTAGGATCAAAAACTTGCGCGGTTTCTTATGCGCGCGGCATCGAAAAGGCTTGGCACGTCTGGCTGGCGTTGTTTGTTGCCGTGCAAGACAGCTTGGTTTAGAACGCGAATTTTGATTGCGCGCGTGCGAATAGCAGACAGCTCTCATGTCACGCCCCTCTCAAGCAAGGAATTCGTGCAATGCTCATAGGCCGCACATCTAACGCAGAACATGTAAACATCCAAAAAGTGAAGCTGGTGCTTACCTAGCCAGAATGTGCCTATTGTAACCGTTGTGGCACTGACTTACATTCACTCACTTGCTCCGTCCGGGATTCTTCAGATGCATGGCCTCAGAGGAAGCGTTTGCAGATGGATACTTGTCCTAGTGCACATTGCGCAGGCGCTGCAACTCATGGAGAATCAGCTGAGTTTTGGGGTTTTGTGTGCCTGACTGCTATGCTCACATGATGAAGGTGTGGACACTCAACGTAACCATATCTGGCACGCTGAGCCTCACTGGGACTAGCGAAGATGCCGCTAAATCCCTCGAAGCTTTAGCAGGCGCCAGCTTTCGAATCTGACATGCGCACGGATGTCAGCCCTGTTACAGGCTTGCAGCTGATCATTGGGCTTCTTCCAAGCCATTGGGTCTTCGAAACTTGGCTCAATTTATGGGTTACTTACTTGCCTCATCAATCTTTTAGCAGCGGCCAAGGACAACATCACCTTGGATATCAGGGATGATGGCGGCTCAGCAGCTGAAGTTCGCCGCAAATGCCTAAGTTGTCTTGCGAGCATTGAAGATGCAACGTCGTAACGTCGGCACATGTGTGAACCACCGCATGCGTCTTCCAATCATGCTCGACATGTTGCATGGGTTCATAAGGCCACTACGAGCAGATGCTACAGGATTTGAGAAGTTCTTGAGCACTTTGCACATCATACGATGCGGTTGTCATCAGATCGTGTGGCCAGGATGCTAACCAGCCTGTTCCTCCAGGAGGATTTCTGCATTCACGTACTGGATC